GGATGAGTACAAGGCAAATAAAGCAAGCACCTTCAGCTTCCCCCCCCATTTAACCAGATGCAGCATTTTGACATTTTTAGGATATGCAGTTGACAATTCACTGACTTGGGTTGATAGCTGGCAACAGCAGACCTTTGCAATTTCGGTTCTTCCTCCACAGCTATTCCAAGTATCTTAATTCCTGAACTAAGAATTAAGACAGCACTGAGAGCTCTGAAATGGTGTTCCCTGCAACATTCTTGTAGCGTACACATCTTAATCTGACACCTCTTGTGAAGGCAGGGAACTGTGTTAAAAGTTGTCTTCCCCTTTGCTAATCCAGGCCACCAGCAATCTTAGCCACTGGTCACCATATAAAAATAAAAGTGTGCTGAAAAGCACTTCCTGAAACTGTTGTGCCCAGATCCCTTTTCAGAGCATTAGTTCCCTGAGAGAAAAAAGAGGCCCTAACCAATTGCTTTTATGAACAATGACCCCAGTACAGTGTATATAATGTCCTTTGCAGCAGAAAATTTTTTTTTCCACTTGTCCCTTGCATCACTTCTGTATCTTAAAATGAAGTGATGTCATAAACAAAAGACAATAATTTTATTTTATTGTCCAGCACTAAAATCAGGACTCTGTTAATATTCTTATTTTAAATAGTCATATTTTTTTCAAGATGATGGTTTCCTAATTTTAAATAATTTTAATAGTTTTTGATTAACATCCTTTTTTATGGATAATTTTCTTCATATGATTATTATTCATAGACACCCTTTATACTTATGCAGACTTTTTTTTTTAAGAGGAAGAAAGAGAGAAAGAAAGAGAAAGAATAAAAAAAAATGAAGGAAAGGAAGAAAGAGGAAGAGGAAGAGGGAGAGAGAACAGGGGTGTTCCTTTATTGCCTGGGCTAGAATGCAGTCTAAAAATGGGTATGCCTGTAATTGTGTTTAATAATAGAGACATGAAAAAAAATGACAGAAGAAAATAATTAACAAGCAGCCAACCAATATTTCATTTAAACCTGTAAATAGGTGTGATGTAGTATTGATAAGAGTGTATATTTTGTGTAATTAAGTGGAGAGTTCTATAAATGTTAATAAGTCTACTTGTTCCAGATCTGAGTTCAAGTCCTGAATATCGATGTTAACTTTCTGTCTCATTGATCTGTCTAATATTGATGTTGAAGTCTCCCACTATTATTGTGTGGGAGTCCAAGTCTCTTTATAAGTCTTATATATTTGCGTATTCCTGTATTGAGTGCGTATATATTTAGGATCTTTAGCTCTTCTTGTTGCATTGATCCTTTTATCATTATGAAATGTCCTTCTTTGCTTCTTTTGATCTTTGTTGCTTTAATGTGTATTTTATCAGCAAAAATTGCAACTCCTGCTTTCTATTTATTTATTTTTGCTCTCCATTTGGTTGGTAAATTTTTCTCCATCCCTTTGTTTTGAGTCTTTGTGTATCCTTGCATGTGAGATGGATCTGGATGTAGCATACCAATGGGTCTTGGCTTTTTTTGCCTCTCTGTGTCTTTGGATTGGGGGATTTAGTAGATTTAAATTTAGAATTAATAACAATATATGTGAGTTTGATACTGTCATTTAATGTTGGCTGGCTGTTTTGCCCATTAGTTGATGCAATTTTTTAGTTATGTTGATGTTCTTTATTTTTTGGTATTTTTTAGAAAGGCTGATACTGGTTGTTCCTTTCTATTTGT